CTTTTAACTGATGCCGACCTGATAAGAACGAGAATGCTGTTGTAACCGTGGCAACAATGTTGCCGTGACGGCAGAAACATTGGCGTTAGTTACAGGAAATAAACTGGGATTTTCACTTGAACTTCTTAACGGTTTGACTCATAGCTACTAGCATTTACGCTAACTCCGGCGCATTTACGCTGTTTATTCTTGTGTTCATTCATGTGAACTGTGTTTCTCTGGAGTGTTTCCGTATGCGTACAGGATGTCAAGGCTCGAAATAAGCGGTTTGGAATCACAGCTTGAGTGTCTAAATTTGAATATTGCGTCTCATCAAAACGCAGTGAATGGCAAAACTGACATCACAGGATTTTATTTTGTATTTTTTCCAGTAATTGTACTGCCGAGACAGTCCCTAAAATCTTCGCTGTGGGCTGGAAGCGTGTGCATCAACATGGGGGCACATATAGCTAGCTAGCTCGCTCGCAACGAGCTTCGGATGGCTAGCTAGTTCGGCTAAACACTGTGGAATCGCTCTAAGTGAGTTATCGCCTCCGTGGCGGCAAATATGCTGCACTTTTGACAAGTATCATTCTCAGGAAGGGATGATGAAGATAGACAGAGAAGCCATGCTAATTGTTAAGCGTAGCGTCTGGATCCAAGTGAAGAGAACAAATTTGAACGGCAAAATAGCCGGTGATTGAATGAATGTCTTACACTTCGCTACACAGCTAAACAGGACACACGGAATCGCTCTTAAGTGAGCTATCGCCTCCGTGGCAGCAAATATGCTGCACTTTTGACAAGTATCATTCTCAGGAAGGGATGACGAAGATAGACAGAGAAGCCATGCTAATTGTTAAGCGTAGCGTCTGGATCCAAGTGAAGAGAACAAATTTGAACGGCAAAATAGCCGGTGATTGAATGAATGTCTTACACTTCGCTACACAGCTAAACAGGACACAAAGCAGAAACTGGAAATGAATTTCCTTATGTTACAGCCTATTGGCTTAAAAATATTTATATAGTCTGAAATATTTATTTCAGTCGTCTAATTTGTTTTCACAGAAGAGTCCTGAGCTTTGACTTTTGAGGTCAGCACAAAAAATACGAAATGCAATGTCTTTCATGTAAATGTTCAAGGTCATGTCATTATCAGATAAAAAATAAAAATGAAGCAGTATCATATCACTCTAATGATATTGCCAGTTTGCATACTTGCGAAACGCAAACGCGTAGCCCACTACCGTCACCCTCAAAGGCAGCCTGACACTACTCAAGAGTCCTGAGTTTTGACTTTTGAGGTCGACACAAAAAATACGAAATGCAATGTCTTTTATATAAATGTTCAAGGTCATGTCATCAGATAAAAAAAAAAATCAAGCAGTATCATATCACTCTAATGATATTGCCAGTTTCCATACTTGCGAAACGCAAACGCAAAGCCCGCTACCGTCACCCTCAAAGGCAGCCTGACACTACTCAGGCGCATTCACATCCTGACACGCTAGCGTCCCGCTATTGACTTGTGGTAAAGCTCACGTTTGCTCAGTTGTGAAAGGAGCAACGCAAACACTCGACGAGACAAAGTCCCGTCTTGAAGCCTGATAAGGGGACAAGCTGGCGGATCAATAATCAGCACGACAAACATCACCGGGGAAGAAGTGGAGGGGTGTTACCAGGCAGACGCAGGTGATGCAAGGGTTGTCGGTGATGTTGGGGATGTGCAGGACCTCGCCTTCGTTCTCACAGCTGGCCTCTGTGCCTGGAAACATTCGAAAACATTCGAATGAGGAGTTAGGGTGTCAAATGTCTGTGTGTTAGTCTACTGTATCCGATTTTTTTTTTTTTTGTATCATCAACAACAAAAGTCAACATCTTTTCACAAAGCGATCCAGGATTCACGGTAATCATGGCACCAAATTCTAACTTGTGATATTAGAGGAGTCGCAGGGGTCTTAAAACACAGGCTCTATATTCCAAATCTTTTCTGAAATTTTTCTTTCCCATCCAAAGTTTGTTTTGACACAATTCTGAAGACTCGTACGATCCACATATGAGCAGCGAGGGAGAGTAATCATTAGACCAATTCCTAATCTGTGACATTTAAAGGGTCTTAAAGCAAAGAATGAATGAACGGTAACAAATTTTGTGGCACTCTTCTTGACTTCAAAAGTTTGTTTTTAAATTGAATTCCTCCAACGCAACATGACCCAAAAGATTGAAACCGTTCCAGCAGTAAGTCAGTTGTAGAATTCTACTAAATCTTAACCAGGAATATGAAAATGGGTCTTAAGGGTCTTAAAACACAAGCCAAAAATTACAGATGTGACTTAGTCAACCACATATACCTTGTTCGTACCCCCGCCCCCCACCCCCAATACACAGCGACACATTTTGAGAGAACAATTCACAGTACAAGCCTGTGAAACAGTTTTGATGTCTTAAGGGTCTCAAAACATACCTTGGAGCATTTTAAAAGAAAAGTGTGTCAGTTTGAGCGTTCCACGTGAGTCACTTTGAGCATTCCACTAAATTCTCGCCAGTGACATTTGAATGGTCTTGTGGGTCTTAAAACACGCGGTGGCAAAACGTAACCTGAAGCAAGCACAGGAAACACAAAAGCTTTACGGGCGAGCGGGAGGCACATGTGCGCGTAAGAGGAAAATTGCTCGGTCGGGAACGAAAACTTCCTTCCTACTGCGGTCATGACCTGCAAAAAAAACGCTTCCTGTGTCCTGCTCCTGATGGCATCACGTTGGGTTACGTCACATTTGTTTAAATTCAAGACGAGAGCGCGCACAAGGGAATCCGACAGAAGCTTCCCAGTGCCGGGTCGTCTGCGTTGCGGGGGCAGACGACGAACTCGCCGACTCCCTTGTTAATTAAACTTTATGACCTTCGAGCCTAATTAAACTGGCATGAGTGAGGGGGTGGAGGGAGGGCGTAGTTTGCCCAATGAAGGGGGTAAAGGGCGGGGGCAGGGAGGTCTCCAGGGACATATCCCTGCTTTGACCAAATAACTCACTCATTGTTTTGTGCTTGTCTCAGGTAACAAGCTCAAACCTTCCCGTAGAGACTCTTTACTCGAAGATTTATGTATCATGCGCGCTTGGAGGACACTTCATTAGGCACACCAACTCATGTAATCCAAAAGCACGAGAGGTGGAGTTTTGATGAATCATTAAAATGATGCTACATATGTGAAACGGTGCTTGGAGTTTGCAGTGTTGCAACATACGCACTTTATAAAGTGCTTTTTTTTTTTAAATTTGAATGCAGCTGCATCAATGTTCTTGCATGATATACAAGCACAATCCTGATCAAAAATACTTTAATTTGTAATGTGTTGTTATTTAAAGCTTGGGCGTGGTTGTAAGTTTTTTCAATGTTATTATTTTTTGCCTCCAAGCGTTTTATCATTGTCGTTATTATTATTGTCAAAGCACTATTTCATATCTATCATCATCAAATTTGTTTTATTTGTTGAAGAAGGAAATGTTCAAAATAGCAGTCAGTGTTATCACAAGCTCCTGCTAGAAAGTAAATAAAAAGTAAAATCAGGAAAAGCCACCTAGAACATCTGAACTTTATTTGGGTTAGTTGGCAATGGTTTGAATGGTGGCAGGTGGGTGCTGACTCACATTTGACATTAATTTTCCCGTGACAGGATAATTTTGAACACAGCCGCATCCCAGTTGTGAGAGGGTGTGCACACTTTTGCAAGTACTTTATCTCAGTTGATTTTTTTTTTTAAATCTATTTCTTCTCTCAAAAGTATTTAAGAGTTGTTATGGATGGGTCACATTCATACTTGAAAAACGTTTTGAGATGATTTATCATGTATCATTTTTTTTATATCACAAAAACCTGGCACTTGAACAGGGGTGTGTAGACTTTTTACATCCACTATATTTCTTTTGGTCGCAAGCTAAATTCTAAATTGTTTTCTACCGGTGACAGCTTCATATAAAAAAAAATGCCCTTTTGATGAATGGCACAATCGTCCCACATTCATTTGAGTTTCCAAAAGACAAATAAACAATCAATAATCAACACAAGTTGGAGTAGTGATCAATAATCAATATTACTGGCATGTATAAAAGGCCCCACAGTCCCCCGGCAGGACCGCTCCCATCCGATATGCCCCCCC